CCCCAAAACCCCAAAACCCCAAAACCCCAAATGATTAAGGTAAATTGAAAATAATATTGATATAATATTGAAATCTCCAATGGACGAATCCGAACATGCCCCTAATACAGGCTCCAATGATTTAGATCGTGACAACTGTACTGACATCCAAGACTACAAACACTGGCGAGGCAATAACTGCTTCTTCTGAAATGGTGTAATCATGACTGGCCCCAAACTAGGAGCCGAAGTCGTAGCCACTCTGGCTGCACATGGCATTGTGATGCTTGGCTTGGTCTCGAATAGTCTGACTTTCGTGCCATATGCTTTCTCCGAGTACAACGGGTCGTGGCTGTTCACACTGTCGGCCTTAGTAGGATACCTGATTGGGTTCTGGCTGTACTACTGCTTGTTGAGAGCCCAGTTCAGAGACCCTGGTGTGTTGTTCAGAGACTTCTCGTACGAAGACGAAGCTGCAGGGTTTCCAAGCGACGAGAAAGTGCTTGCACAAGAACAACAGAAGTCTCGAGTAGATCCAGTACGAGCAGGCGCTCATATTTACAAGGCCAGATATTGTCACACATGACACATAATGAAGCCGCCAAAGGCATCTCATTGAGGAGTGTGAGACAACTGAGTAGCAGAGTTTGATCATCATTGCACTTTCATAAACAATTGTATAGGAAGAAGAAATATGGCCGCTTTTTGAATGTTTCTATTTCTTTGAATTGTCTGGGCAGTCTGGTACTGAGGAATGGGAGCATATTATTTTCTTCATGCGCTATATTACACTTGTGATTTATACCGCCTCTATGTTACTATTCCCGTCACATTAGTAGCAATCCCCTTTATTATCCCTCTCTTTGACCTTTACGAAATCTCCCAATGTAAAATTATTGCTGGATCTATTGCCTTCTTAAGTCTCATAATAACTTTTTGCTACCAAATGCCTTTTCCCAAATGGTACATTAACCCGTTCTGTTTCATGTTCTTTGTGCTCCCGCCTGTGATCCTCTTCTTCGTTGGAAACTTCTCTGCAGAGTACTACTACTTGCTCTCAAGGGACATGACTGAGAAGGAGCTGGTCTCCAGAAGGCAGTTTTCAAGTAGGGAAAAAGTTGATGATGCTCTTATTAAGAACTTAACTTTTAAGCAGAAAATGAGGAATGTGTTCAAGAGACTTACAAGGAGCAACCCGAAATCTGTACTGGATATAGCAGCCACAATGGAGATTTCTGAGTCAGCAGATCGGGACATTGAAGGCATGGATAACCAATACTCAAGCTCATCCAGTTCGTCAGATGATGAACTCCCTGAGGTGTTGAAGCAAAGGCAGATGAACATACAGTATACAGGGGATGGCGTTGTTAAGATGCTTAATTATGACGGCAAGATAGTACAGGAAATTAGTCAGGAAGAGTTCTTGAAGCAAAATCCTCAATTTGCTAGGTTCCATCCTGAAATCCAAATTCAACCAGGTCCTCCTCAAACAGAGCAGGTTAGTGAATTCCAAAGACAATGGGACCAGAATAAGAAGCTACAACAACAACAAGAACAGAATGCTATGAATATAGTTGTGGATGATGAAGGTAAAGGAGAGTTTAGTGAAAAGTACAAAGAACGTCTTGAAAATGATAAAATCAGGAAAGAAACTCAAACTATTCCAACTCAGAACGAAGACACTATAGATGAAATTTAAAGCGCAATTATTTCAATAATATCTTAGCCCCATGGGGTTTTGGGGTTTTGGGGTTTTGGGGTTTTGGGG